GCGGTGCTGGTGCTAAACGTCGTGTCATGTCTGAAATCAGAGGACAAATCCACACGACAGTTTGTTGTCCTGCAGTATTCTTCTTCATCCTTTGACGCCTGCTACTTTATTGATCTGCTTCTCATTCATCTCGTCATCCATACCGCCACTGCACCACCGCGCCATTCAATACTGTCCTCAATCAAGGCCCAGTTTGCCGAGGTATCAACATGTAATAAAGAGTAATTGACACTACTTAGGGTCAAATCTGCGTAATCTGGCACCGGTGAGCAGCTGACACCGAGCGCTGCCTCTGGCCCGGTGAGATGCCTGAAGTAACTGAGGGATGAACTGAATCAATAGGAGACATATGGCTGCAGTGAGAGGTGGTTCTGGGTTCAGTAGCAGCAGCGTAACAGGAGAAGGTGAGACAGATGTCGGTGAAGGGACCAGATCAATGCAGAGATGTTTGGACAGAAGCCTTTATCAATATATATATATTTTTGAATATCAAAAAGATGACGTTGACAGTTAGAAACTGTTTCTATCTGAATGGTTGGATGCGGTGTCTGTATTGGATACTGGTACTTCCTCAGTGCATCTGTGAGTCTTTAGAAATTAGATTATATTGAAATGTATTTTTTGAATTGTTGATGCTTTATATGCTAAGGATGAAAACGTTTGCAGAATATTTAAAAATGTATTGGAAGCCAATGCCAACAACCAGACGCTCCTTCACAACACTGGGCTTTTTTTTAGGGGCGTTTTATTTTTTAATTATCCATTCACGACAGTAGAAAGAAGACATGTCCAGTAAGTAAATACAGGATGAATTATTTTTTTGTCTCATTCAAGAAACTGTTCACTGAACAACACAGTCGTATTTCAGTCAGATTAAAGGGTTGACCCTGGATTACAAATTAATTCCAGGGGCAAATTTAATCAGTCTAATGTCCTCACCGAGATAAAAATGTTAAAGGCACATATTTCAGTATCAGGTGTAAATCCAGCCAGTTGGAGTTGGACGTTTTCAGATGAGTGTAAAAGGTTAATCACTGCACCGGGAGACGGAGGAAGAAAGAGACAAACTCGTATATTGCATTGGAAACATTTTTAGAAGTAGGAAATGTTTTGAAAGAAAAGTCTGTCCTGGCATTTCATTTTCCATTTATATTTTATTAGAATATTAGTTTTTGGCAGACTAAACTTTCAAATTAAATTCATCTCACAAAACTTTTGAACAATTGATATATATATATTTTTTTTTTTTTTAAGCAATGAAGTTCCTTAAAATTAAAACTTCTTTTTTAAGCAATGAAGTTCCTTAAAATAAAAACTTCTAATAAAGACTTTTCAGTAGAAAAGCTCACTGATGATGATTTAAAAAAGAGCAACGATGTGATTGCAATAAAAACGTATTATTAACATTAAGTTTCTCTAAGAGAATCCTGCAATAAACAAAACAATAGCGTACTGTAGCAGAGCAGCAGGTTGTACAACTGATGCTACGTTTGATTTCTACACAGGGATTAATCCAAGCTCACATCAGTAGAAAGACAAATGATAGAAAACGTGCACTTTGTAGATTTAATAACCCAAACTTTTTTGGTTTTCCCATCAGTGATAAAGATTGAAATAACTTTGATGCAGTAATGAGTTCCAATCGTTGATTCCTATCAAAGCAAATGTGGCGTTTACAGTTAGCTTTAATGTATGTTGCGCAGCAGGTGACTGTATTAAATTGGATGTTTTATTATTGTACCTCAGCATGGAGAAATGTCACTCATTACAAGATCAGAGAACTGGGTTCCACAGCTCAGGGCTGAACTATCGCTGCATCTGCGACGCAGTGATCTGGCTGTCGCACAACCATTAGCATTGCTAACGTCAGCTCAGTGGTGTCTACAGTGTTAGTATAGATTCCACACGTCAGCTCAGTGGTGTCTACAGTGTTGGTATAGATTCCATTCCAGTGTCCATTTTTTCCAGCGTACACGGGTGTAATATTACACACAGTTTACAGCAGCAGAGCTCAGTGCTGAGGTGTTTCTGTTTCTGTTAAGGGAAGAAGAAGAACCAACAAAAACATAATCACGCTAAGTGGGATGTCAGGTACGTTCTGTGGAAGAACGTTGTCGGTGCGTTGTTCTGCCTGCTGACAGTCGCTGCTTCTCCCTGGAATGACAGCTGCTGTGTTTAGATTGAAGGCAGTCGTTGGAGCCAGTCCCAGCAGTCATCCGACCCAGACAGCTCGTTTGGTCAGTCCGTTAAGGACCCACATAAACCATTCACACTCCCGTTCATACCTTTGGTCCAAATCAAAACAAACAGTTAACACGGTCCTGCAG